GCAGAGTGTAGTTTGTGAGGTTGTTACTTGTATCATGTGTAGTTTGCTAATTTTAAGCCCCTTGGTATTATTCGAATAGAGTAGCTGACAGCAGGAGATGTAGACATTGATTCACTCCGGTACTCATATTAAAACTTAGAGATAATATATTTCAAGACTAAGGTGGATTGAATTGCTGTCATGATGCATTTGTAATTGTCAAGCTTTGTTTGTCCTTTATAAAAAGAAACTGAGACACTTTCTTGACAAACTTCTTAACAAACAAGTAAAGAGTGTTCAGCCTCTGAAATGGTTCTGTTATTGTTGATAATTAGTTTGCACACAGCAGAATGAGATTGAGATATATTTAGACAGTGTCATCCTATCTGCTTTTAACAAGAGAAAACACAAACTTGTAGTAGTTTGCCTTTTCAACAAAGTAACTTTGTTTGAACCAATTTAGCACTTGTTATTAAATTAGCATGGATGGGGAAATTTGAGGTGACATTAACAAAAACTTTAGTTTTGTGAGTTATTAGCTCTGTAATGTGGGTCGCTGCTGACTGGAAGTATATTGGCGAGTCTTGTCTGCTAATGGCTTGTGCCCTCGCCAGAATTAGTAGGAGGTCCCCTAAGTAGAGGTGTGGAAACCAACCATTTTTTTTAGCTTCACTTAGAGGTGTTAAATCAGCAACAACTGGTTATTTAACTTGGTCTCTTGTGTTTTCTGCCCTCACTTTTCCCTACCTTCTCTCTTTCAATACCCATTTTCTCTTTAGCATTCTGTTCAGTCTTCATTCTCCACCTATAATCCTTTGCTCTTTCTATTCTCCAACACTTTTTCCCATCTTTATCTCTCCTTCTTTCCTTCTCTTCTACTGTGTTACTTTCTGCCTCCAATCCCTCCATCTTTCTTTCTGTCCTAGCAGTCCAGTTAATTGCCTCCAAAGTTCACTCTGTCTCTGGGCTAATGCAATTTAAGTAGGGTCGGAGCCCCTTCATCAGCCCAGTGCTGGCATTTCATTAAGTCTACTTGGGCGTTAGCTTGCAAGCAAGTGGGGGTTTCGCTCCACCAGCTCATCATTAGTAATTAATACACTGATAGGATTAGCTGCAGCATGAGGCTAGTGGCAAGTGGAAGCCTTGGTGTTGCTGGTTGGAGAGGGCGTGTGTGATATGGCCTCCAGCACTGCCTGCGATGTGTGAAGTGTGTTAGAGAGCAATTACGTTTGTGGTGGGAGATTGTGTGCGCGTGTTTAACTTGGATATTTACATGAAGATTTGTGACCAAGTGCTATGACCCCACACTCATTTAACTAAACATGAGAACCATTTTTCACAAAAGTTCACTCTTGAAGTTATTTTCTTGTTATTTATGTTTTTATCAGTTTTTTACATTTTAAGCTTATACAGTAATACATATAGTACAAGTATGACTTATTAATAAAAATTAAAAGAATAATAGACAACTGTTTAAACAAAAAGAGGCAGTCACAAAAATTAAAACAAAACTCTCTAAGATATATATGTAGAGAGAGAGAGAGAGAGAGAGAGAGAGAGAGAGAGAGAGAGAGAGAGAGAGAGAGAGACAGAGAGAGAGAGAGACAGAGAGAGAGAGAGACAGAGAGAGAGAGAGACAGAGACAGAGAGATATGTCCAAGATTTAATGTATGCCAGATTTGGCAGAAGTAGTCTTCATTATAAATTTAATCCACTCCATATACTCTGGTCTCACCCAGTTAGGTAAAATAAGCCTGGATTCTACAACAAAGCCTGTTACTGCTTGCCCAAATGTCCTGGTGGCACGAACAATTTATCCCCTAAAGAAACAGCTGTGGAGATTGTGGTAGAGGTTGTTTGAGCCACTCCTGAAGTTTTTTTATTGCCTCTTTCTAAAAAGGCTATACCAAGGAACACTCCCACCGAACATGTAGGAATGTGCCCATGTCCTTGTTTCATTTGCAGCATTTATTATCTTGGGTTAAGCCTATTTTAAACAGTTTCAGGGGTGTAAAATAATATCGCTGTACAATTTTATAATTGAGGAGATTACTTCTTGCATTCCCTGTAGCCCACCATACATTTCAGATCACATCCAATCCATCAATAAATCTTCCCTAATCTTCCTATCAAGATCCATTTGCCATATTAATCTCAGACTTTTGCAAATGCTAATGTGAGAATTTTTATTTTTATTTTAATCTTTTATAAAATAATACCCAAAGACACTGCTGACACTGCTCCTTAGCTGAAGCTGCATCCCATTGAAAGGATCTTTTCCCTATACAGATTGAAAAGCTGTTCGAAATGCAAGAGTATCTCTGTTTATATTGCAATATAAACAGAGATACTGTTGCAATATCCCCAAGATTTTGTGTTCTCTTGCCCGTGCCCATTGGGAGATTTGTAAAATTGTGTTTTTTCCGCTCTCTGTTTTGCTGTATTCCTCTGTGATAATAGTTCTGCATTGTTAGATGGAACTTATTCAAGTGTGTGTTTCCACCTTTACCCACCCAGGGTTAGAATCATAATTTGGCCAATGTCTTCCAAGTTTATTCATTGCAAATGCTGCTGGTCATACACAGGTGACAGTAATAGGATCTGTGCCTTGTTCTTGCCACAGTAATAGTGATTTGAGAGAGCCAGTCCTCCATTAGCTCTTGAGGCAAACTGTTTTTTCAGGCTGATTCTCAGCTTTTTCCCGTTCCAGAGATGCGCCTTAATCAGACAGTTATATTGTTTAAAGATTGCCTCAGATATGGTTATTGGTATCATCATAGAGATGTAATTAAATTGTGGAGCAACAACCATCTTAACAGTATTAATTTTCCTCCATAAAGTGAGGTTTATCAATTTCCATTTATCCATATTTGCCATTATGTTTTGTAATAGTGGGACCATACTAATAGAAATGATATTTTCTAATTCTGAGCCTGCACACAGCATATTTAATTTCAACTGGAATCCACTTAAACTGGAATGGGATGATTGTTGACTGCAAGCACCCTTTTGATATCAATACAGCTTCTGATTTTTTACACTAGTTTATATCAGAAAAAGATTCAATCGTACATAAAACAATAGGGATGGAGGAAACACTACCAGGGAGCACTACCTATACTTTTCTAGTTATTTTCAACAAAAAAATATCAATCTCCTTTTTGTAATATTCCATTGAAACCTCTGAATGTACTTATGAACATGCTGTTGTTGAAACCAAAGATTTTCCACAACTTATCTGCTTTTGCATCAGTTTTTCATGGATATGCATTTGCAAATACGTGCATGTGTGTGCACTTGAATTAGTACCAGCGCAAGCACATGAAGGCTTTCCCATGCATGACGGGGGGTGCTCTCCGCAGCGTTAATTACATCATTATGATCGGGATGGATCTCCATCTGCTCTACCATTACTCCTGTCCCATTCTGGGCTGACCCACACTGCGCCTAAGAATTAGACACACACAGGCTAAATGGCCCTGCTAAATTATGAACCTATTAGATATGGGAGGCTATTTTAGAACATATGTATTCACACAGAGAGAAGAATGAAGAAGGGCGAGAGAGAAAGGAAACGATGAACCGAGTTGGCAGAGCAAGAGAGAGAAAATAGAAATGTGAGAAATGAGAGATGAGGCACTAAGAGATTTTGAAAAATGAGGGCCAGTGAAAGCAACAGAGGGAATGTGCAGATATAATGATGGAGTAGAGGAAGTTAACTTTCTCTATCTGGCCAGAGTTTCACTGTGCTTGTCCTCTGCTATTGTTAGAAGTTGATAAGATTTTTATGAAGCATGATAAGACGTTGATGGATTTCACCATGGATCATGTGGACGGATCAGGAAAATGGAGGACAGGAATTTTAACGGTGGTCATCAAAAGAGCTGGTCATGTCAGTGGCCTTTTTCTGTCTCCAGGGTATGGGTTTTCTTTTGTTTTCCTGGATTGGCTTTGTAGATAAAATGTTGTGATAAATTGCAATACACCATAATACTACAAGCCATGATAAATACAACTCCCGCTGCTAAGGATGTCTCAAGCTGATATTCTAGATATGTATCTATGCTGAAGGAGGCATTTGTAATTGCGGTTTTACATTAAAAGTATAATTCATGTTTGTATGACAACAGCTGGCACCAGAAAGGGGAGAACATGAAAACAATGCAGAAAGGAAATACAAGAACAATCAAAGTGACACTGAATAGAGAGCAGTATCAAACCAGATGGCTAACAGGAAAGTTTTTGCTGTACCACACTACAATCATTTTTGGTTTCAGCTTCATATTGCAGTGAGCTCTACAGAAATAGAGCATAACCTGATGGTAAATGTATGGAAATATTTTCACCACATGCTATACAAAGGCCTTGTGGATAAAAAAGGTACCCAAGAATAATCCTACAAATGAACAGAGCGGACAGGCCAATCTGACAGGATAGAATTGTGAATGGGAACTTTGAAGATATTAATAAGCTTGAGTACTCCATGTTACAGTATCTGAGGTGTAATATCAGGGAGAAGCATATGGATGTGATAAATTTGGGAATAATAATAAACTGTATTTAGTGAGTAACTGTATACTGTTTTTAACAGCTGAGATTGATGCTCAGTTATGAAAATATCACATATATGTTAGAGGACCTATTATGTGATATTCCAGAAAGTGATCTTGGTTTCTCCGTTTCAATTTATCTCTATGTTATATAGACCCTGATGTCTTTTCACTCACTGTTAAGTGAGTTATTAGCACTGTTTCACCAATGTGGAAGTGCTATATACATTTTACTTGTCGTTGAAAGAAAGTAATTTATTTTCTTGTCCCTTCAAATTGTTGCCAGAAAACAACGGCCCAGAAAATCATTGTCACATTCTAAGCACTTAGCATATGATTGAAAAGACAAAAACTTGAACCTTCGTCGCCTTGTTAAAGGCCAGTTCCCCATCAAGATATTACCAAGCTACTTTTTATACCATGATTCTTTTGCTCTTTAGCGTTTGACACAGTGTTCTGTGTGTTGTTTAGGTTCTGCTTATGGAGTATCTTGATGTGAAGAACAGCCGGAGTGCCACCGAGCCATTGGCTCAACTCTCCTATGCCAGCACCGGCAGTGAGTTTGCTGCCTTTTTTGCGAAGAAAAAACCACAGCGTGCCAAGCAGTCGCTCTTCAAGTAAGGATCACACCTTATCTTATTCTGTTTAACATCTCATACTCAAGGCCATTGTTCTTTGTTTCTTTTTATTGTTACATATCATGTTACATTTTGTATTTTATTGTTGTGTTGTGTGCCCACTTGTTGAACCTTTCGTGTGTTTCGTAGGTTTGAATCATCTTCCCATGCCATCAGCATGAGTGCTTACCTGAGAGAGCAGAGGCGAGAACTCTACAGCAAGAGTGGAGAATTACAAGGTGAGGAGGGGGACGGAGGGATGAACTGAGGATGGAGAGAATTGGGGTGTAAAGAAGAGTCCCGAACAGCTGGAATGGAGGAGGGTGTTCAAAGAGAGATGAAGGGAGGGGAAAAAAGAGATGACAGGGCCAGAGGTGTGAAAAGTATTGACAGAAATGTTGGAAAAGGGGAAAATGTGACAGAGATAGAAAAATAAATTGGACAAGGTTTGCAGTGTGTAGGATAAAGCAGGAGAGAAAAGAGCAGCACAGACCCAGAACAAAGGTTAGGGCTGGGTGGAGGGATGAAAAAAGGGAGAAGGTTAGAGGTGTATGGAATTACTAAGAAAAGAAGACCTCAGTAGAAAGCACAGGGACCTACAACCTTATTGAACAGACAAAAATAATGGGTTTGTGCAGATAGATACATGGGCACAGAGATTATGAAGAGATGGCAAACAGGTGTATATATTGCCTTGAGTGGGAACAGGATACAGGCAAGGTGGAAGGAGATGAGGGTGATTTGGTCACGTTTGGTTGATGGAGAGCTGGAATGGAGAGCATGAGAGAAGCAACAAAAGGTGCTTCGGAGATAAGAAGGGCATGTTGCAGATCGAGAAGCTACCCTTCGCAAAAGAAAGGCAGATAACAGGAATGTGGAGAGGGAAACAGTGATAGAGAGAGATTGACGAGAGGCAGAGAGCAGGGTGACTTTGCAGAATCCACCAACAGGGAGAGGCCTTGAAAACCTCTCACTCACACATCCACATGCGCACACACAAAATAGCACAGTGAGTGAGCTGCACAGCCAGACCCTGGAGAGCCTCTGCTGTTCTACTGCTCCTACTTCTTCTGTCTCTCTCTGGCTCTCTGTTTCTCTGCATATGACCTTAAGGTTTTAATCAGCACTGCCTGACAGCGCTGTTTGTCTGGTACTATTCCTTTTTCTAACACCAAGCTCCATGTTGGCATTGTTTGGATAAAATAGAAAAAGGTGGAGAGAGATGGAGTGAGACAATAACTGTGAATTGTTTTTGATTTGTAGAAAAGCAAAAATGATCCTCTGACAATAATTGCGCAAGTAGTTATGACCATTGAGGGTAAAATATTGAAATAACGCAGTATTAATTAGGCTTCTGTAGGTATTTAACTTCAAAACAACCAAAGAATGGCTTCTTGAATAAAAATTCCAGAAGATATTTCAATGCAGGCTGTAGTATTTTTTCGACAAGAAATGCTACTCATACAGTAGGTAGTCTGTAAATGTATGCAAAATCTACAGCCTCGCCCCCCCACTATCGCCACAAAAAGAACAGCATTGATTAACTGTGGATAAAGGAAAATGGTCTCCAAATAACAGCCCACTTTTTTTCTTCTTCCTTCTGTCGGCGCCTCAGAAAGAAGGGGGAAAAAATATTTTTTTTGACTGGCTGAATGCCTCGGAGCGTTTATAAGAAGATGAGATTTCTCTGGGCTTTCATTTCACCTGTCACAATGCGAAGCACCGGCCACAAGCCCAGGCCGGGGCCTGAATGGCTGCAAAGAGATTGAAGGAGTAAGAAATCATTTAGAAAGTGAAATAAGTCGACTGTGATGGAGGGAGGGGAAAGATGGATGGAGGGAAGGAGGGAGGGAGAGGAAGGTTAAAAGTCATTGTTTTCATCAGGGTCCAGCAAAGAAGCCATTAAGAGATTTCTGAAGGAAGAAATTAGAAAAATCTGTATTGAGACGGACGGTGTGGAAAGGGACTTTTTCTCTCTCTTCAAATTAAACTTACTGTAGGGAGGGAGGGAGAGGAAAAGAGTTAGAAATAAGAGATTGAGTTGATGAGTTCTTCTGGCTCCAGGATTACTCAACACTTAAAGCTTAGTCATGTGTGTCTCTTAGTCTTTCTACTTGGAGTTTCCTAAACTCTTTTTTCTCAACGGTCTGCTTCAAGTCAATATAGTTATTAACTCAAATGCTCACCAACACAGTCTTGGAAATAAGAGTTTTGATTGTTCGTTTTAAATCCAGCTATGCTCAGTTTACAAATGCATAAGAATGGTCATGCACTAAATAAAGTACAAAGTCGCAACCACAAATAATTCTGTAGTTTGTGCCGAAGCTGCTACTATTCTTGCTGCATTTTTCACTTTTTTTGGGAGATGCCAGCTGTGTCACATAAAATACTTTTTTAGCTCTGAGAGGTCTCAGTATTGCACATATGTGTGGAATCGAGTTCCAAGATCGTCTGTAAGTAAATATCAGAGCACCAGTATTTGTATAGAATGTGTAATGATTTTGTAGCCTATCCACACTCACATATCTCTAATGAGTATGAAATTAATCTGTAATATCTGTAAATATCTGTAATTTATGTCTCCTGAGTGTTGTAAGAACCCGCCATATATCATTACACACATGCGCACCGCTGCATTGGCGCATATTCACATGCCTCACATACACATGCAAACACGCAGGGGGACTTAATTGCTTGCCTTCTCCACTGAAGCATGTCTCGTATGCTTCAATTAATCCAATACTTCATCTAAAGACTTTATTACAGCTCCATATGTAGCCACATCTGGAATATGCGTTTTGAATGCATTTAGTGAGACTGCCAGCTAGAATGTGTACAGTATATTGTGTTCATATATACAGCAGATCCTCAGCTGTGCATCTAAATGTGTACGTACTGTTTGTGGGTGTGTTTGTATCTTCGGCAAACCACTACTTTAGAAACACACAGAACCTAATCCAGATTCAATCACACTCCCTATGAATAAATGATGAAAACAACATTTTTTCCAGCAATAGATGTGTAACCATGCCCCTCTATTCCTCTGCATGTCCCCCCACCACTAGACTTTTACATCCTCGCCCTCTGCTTTTTTATTGCCTGTCTGTCGTGTGTGTAGGCAGCAGATGACTCCGAGTGCCCCAGTGGTCATCTGGGAGGTGAAGTGTGAATATATCTCAATAACTACTGCAGTCTCGCACCGTACCAAGCCAGTAATGCATTAACAGCATTTTCTTTTTTTCCTTTTTTTTTTTTTAATTTTATTTCTCTTTGTGTCGTGGCTGTTCATTGTGTTTCATGTGATATTGCCTTGCCCCGGGGCACGTTTGAAGTGACATCCCCCCTCCTCGACAGCCGTACACAAAGCCTGCCTATCACCACACGCTTACCCCAACATTCACGTAAGCAAACATACACATTTCAAACTTCCCCCTTCCCCTGCAGGCACATACATATACTCCCATTTCTCCAACCTCTGACCTCCCACCACTCCTAAAATGTATTCATTATCAACTCGTTTCCAAATCTATTTCACACATTCCATGTTTTCCTTTTGATATTCAAATAGACTTCTTCACAGGGTGTCCGGCAAACAAAAAGAACAGTCTGGCTGAGTCCTCTATGCAAGCAATCTAATTACAAACAGCTCCTCTCTGCCCACCCCTTAACAGCTAATGCTCAGTCTGAGGTGCAGAAAAAAGCCTATGTTGTTTTAGGGGCTTCTTGTTTATGTATAATAACATCATGTTCCCATGAGAGAGTGAGGAACAGGGAAAGGCAGCAAGAGGAAGAGAGTGACTGCTGGGGGCAACCAGAAGTGGTGTTCCTTGTCAAGCTGATTTGTACACTCCAATAGGGAGGTAGGGAGGCGAGGGAGAAGAGGTGCAAATGGGAAAATGTCTAGCGGGACATGTGGGGGTGGAGGTAATAGTAGGTAAGATATCAAGGGTGGGGCTGGCAGATGTTAATAGCCATGTATTCTCAGTGTATGTGTTTGTAAGGTGAAGTAGCAGAAACAGCATGTTCCTGCCAATTGATGTGTGGTGTTGCACACTTTTGGCAAACTAGGATTGCGTTTGGGAAAGTCAGTTTTAAGAAGTGCTTGGACCTTACAGAGGGATGACGGGGTGATTAGAGGAAGCTTCCACATCACCCTCAATTACTGCCCCCCAAAATACAACAGAATCTAATAGCCCACCTTTTTCATTTAGATAGCTCCTCAGGTAAACTAACCCATGTTTTCCACGATTAACCTTATTCTCAGCCAAACAACTACTTTCAGATCAGTTCCTCACTCTTCGGTCACACTCCAGGCCACTAAATCCATTTTTACTGTAAAATCCCTGACTAGCCTTTCCAGTTATTATTCATTCACTTCATTTGTTGTTCAAGGATAATGGTTGTTCACTCATCTTGTTGATCAATACTTGACTTCCACTGACCTTGCAATTATGATTTATCATATTCATAGCTAGAAACCTTAGATGGAATTGAACTTTGTCAGTAAAAAAGTCAATAATTATTATAGGATTATGATGCTGGAATGTCAGACACCTGCTTAGGTGCGATTTATGCCCCAGTCAGTTTTTTTTTTCGTACACTGATTTCTCAATTATGATTTGCTGTTTCATGCCCAACTTCCTTTTTTGGTGCTTAAGCGTCTCAACATAGACGTCTCAGTCAACAAATGATAGGCCATGTGCTGTATGTTCATATTAAACCACCTTAAGTAAATGTCAGTCAAATGATCCAGAATTTTATATAGAATACTTCATATTTAGTCAAGAAAGACAACATGAAATGTGTACTAGCACCATGTTTTTTCAGGGTGCTTGGTTCCTTTGTACGGGCAAATATAGATTTATCTGATCATGAAATTGGATTGGAAGTGATTTATAAACTTTAAGTACTCAGGAAATCATTTTCTTTTTTACAGCACATGATATGCAATTTAAAATTAGAATAACCTATGTTCTTCTGGTCATTATTCATAGAAGAACGTTACCCACAAAGCTGAGTGATGTGAAGTTTTCATACTGCTCGGATTTGTGTGTGTGTGTATGCTACATAAAGTATGCGTGCGAAGTTATGGCATTAATGACATGTACAACATGCTGTAATTGAATGACATGTTGTAACCAAGTCTATACTTGGAGCTCTGTACACCACAGGAATGTCACGAGAAAATGACGTTTCCGCTCTTGTTGCAGTGCCAGACCTTCATGAATTGTTTTGTTCC